TAATAAATTAGATAATTTTATCACATTTTGCTTTTAATTATCAGGTTAGAAAATTAGAACAAAAGAAGATATAGAAATTATTAATAGAGATTTAATAACTTTTAAACACAGAAGTAGTAAATACCAAAATAAATAGTACATTATAGACATGAAGCTTAGAACATGTAAATGCAACCCAAGTAGAGCACTATATAAGCATCAAGTATCAGTAGCTAAACATTACTATATTTGTAGTTTAAATCAGATCTCTACTATATCAGCAAGTAAATAACAATTCTATACTTATTTAGTATTAGATGAAAAATACAAATCTCTTAGTTTTTATACCAATATTTATCAAGTATAGCTTGAAAAAGAAACTTGCATACCTTTAATACAAAATAAAGATCCAAGTATTAAAGACTATGATATGAATAAAAGTAAAAATATTCATAATAATGATATTGTTAATAATGAAATTGATGATTATGAAAATGATTCTAATAATAATATTTCAGTGATCATGATATTAGCAATTATAATAATACTAGCAATAGTAATAAAACTAAGGATAATAGTGACAGTAACTACAATAATTAAAATTTTTATTATTAAAGTAAAATTAATTATTGTATTTAAACAAATAGGTCAGTTCATACTGTTATGAGTATTTGAGTACTTTAATCAAACTTTAATAATTAATTGAATTATATTCTTGAGTTGATACTCTATCTTTAATACAAGTTTTGTTCTATAATATCATATAATAATTTATTATAATACTAATTTAAAAGATATTTAATATCATAATTTACTTAATTATTAAAATTAATTGAATATTGATATTTTAATTTAAAAAGTTTTGCCTGAATACTCATAATGGTATTGTTAAACCTAAATATTTATTATTTTAATAATTTGTAGGTTTAATATTTGAAGATAATAACAATAATGATAATGCTATAAGTGAATTCTATTAGTTTTGACATGATATAGAAAATCTTTTAAAGAAAAATGATCTTGTATTAAATAATAGTATACATAAGTTTGTCAAGATCTATAAACAATATTGATCTAAAAATAATATATATACTTATTCTGCAATGGCATCTTTTCTTCAGTATTGCAGTTAGGATACTGGTCGAGCTTACAGAAATAAATATCATCTTAGAAGAAAAAAAATATATGTTCAAGTTTCTGTATCTACACAATACAAAAGTACAAACTGTGAACTCAGAGTAATGTATTAGAGATAACCAAAAATATTAAAAAAAAAGTTAGTTAACAATATTAAAGAATATGAATTAGATTGCTTTGTTATGCTCTTTATTTAATAGGCTTTGTATTAGGAGTATAGATTTCATAGCAAACTTCATTAATTTGTTCTAGTTCTAG